GGTTTAATTTAAGAATTTAAGAATAAACACTAAACAGGAACCCAAAATATCCTATCACTAAAGCCAACAACAACAATACCACCCTAACATAATAATGGGAAAATTCCCTTAGTCCTGAACAGCATGTAGGAGAACTGTGTTCTTTCAGTTCTTTAAGACAGGGATTAAATTCAGTCCTATAAGACAGAGATCCCCAACATCTGGTCTGTGGATCAGCACCAGGCCGCAGCATGCCAGAAACCGGATCATGCAAACAAGCAAAGGCCTATTTACAGGATGCAAGCAGCACGTGAAACCACGCCTCCTACAGTCCATGGAAAAACCTCTCTCCATGGAAGCAGTCCCTGGTGTCCAAAAGGTTGGGGACCGTTGCTATAAGATACTGGAATAGTGCTTTATATATTGAAAATCAGAAATAAGCCACAGTTCGCTGGATTTAAATCTCATCCTAAACCAAAACCAAGACTTTCCAATTGCAAAGGCTTCTTTCACACATTATACTAAATCAAAACCCAAATTTTCCTATGAAATATATATATGTAAGTATACCATCCATTACCAATACTGTCAGTACATTTCTTTAAAACACCTTTGAATATGGTAAGTAAAATAAAGTTCTCTTTAATTTTCTCATCATCAGACACTGAAACACAATGTCTAAATGTAGTTCTGGAGTTCCAGAACTGAAGTTTTATTTGATCCATATATAGAAGTATTTTCATATAATTTTTCAGCTGTACCAATGACTAAAAAGTCATTTGCAAAACAGAACATCAAATATTATCAAGCAATAATTAAAAATCAAGATTTGAATCAAATGGAGCAAAGTTAAAATCTTCAGGCACATATTAAATATCATTAAAAGTCAAATAAAATAAGAATGCCAGAGTGTTTTTAATTACTTTTCTTTTAAGTTTTGATTATGATATTATATTTTAGTTTACATTTAGCTGCAATTAGCTGCATAGAAAGTTCTTGTTAATGGAAATGAAATGTTTTCACTGACCAACTAAATACTATTAAGGATGAAGCTATCTCATCTCCTTTGGGATGATTTTTTTCTTTTTGTATTGTTTGTAATATTGAACTTTCTTCCTCCTAATTCTTCCTATCCATTTTAGCAATCTTCAGAGACTCCTCTAGTCGTAGGACTGTTACTTTTCATTGAAGCACTCAGGCTATTGCTACAATTCAATCAGCCACTCAGTCAAATTTCCTCATTTATTTAGCAGCTTATTATTATTGGAAGGGTCAATCATTAGAATAAAGTGTTCCTGCTCCAAGGTAGCTAATATTTTGCTTCAAGAGTGAATATATTCACATCACCGTCCCCTTTCTGACTGGACATGCAAACAGCTACAGGAGTGCTTTACTATTTCACAAATGAAGGCAAATTTACTATTTCAGCTAGTTTAAGGTACGTGTTCTATATCATTGGCAATAAGGTTTTTAATGGAGTGGGGGTTTTTTTTGCGCTAACACAAAATGGGTCAATTAACCAGATTTAAAACCTGATTACTGGGTGATGTTAGCTCAGTGGTGGATTTCAAAAATTTTTAGAACCTCTTCTGTAGGTGTGGCCTGCTTTGTGGGAATTGCTTGTCAGCCATGTGACTGGGTGGGAGTGGCTTGCTGGCCATGTTGGCTCAGGAACTCTGGCATTGAAGTGTGCAAGTCTTAAAGCTGTCAAGTTACAAGACCTTGCATCCCTAACCCTTTAGGGGAAAAAAAACCCAGGGGTATTCAAACTTGACAGCTTTAAGACTTGTGGACTTCAACTTCCAGAATTCCTCCTCTCGCTCTTCATCTTGATGATGTGTGGACGGGCGGGGGAAGGGAGCTGGAACAGGTTCTAAACAGCACTGTAGATTTGTGGAACCTCTTCTATAGAAGAGGTTAGAACTGGCAGGAAGCCACCCTGTGTTAGCTTAACTCTTTACTTGGGAAGGGGGATCTATTTTGGGTAAATTTTAGCCTCCCCCCCCCAATCTAATTTTAATGCTTTCATAGGATAGTAATTTCATCAGCACCAAGGCTCATGTTAAGGATATTATAGGAATAGAGGGAAGCCAATGAGACTAATGACATAAAAGTAAAATTGTGTTGATTTTCAAAGTGACATGTTATTTCGATCAAAGTTTTGTTGAAATATTCCTTCAAAAGTGATGCCATCAAAAGTGATGCTTTTCAAAAGTAAAGAGGTGTCCTGGAAGCAGCTAGACTCTGAGCCAGTAAGACTGCTATTTGCACATGCACAAAGAGTACAAGGCAACATTGAAGTTGTTCCTAATAAGATGAATTAGTAGTCAAATCACATTGCCCATGCTTTGATGAGTCATAGAAGTGAAGTGCCTTTTCAAATACAATTTACACAGGCCTATTACAAAACAGTTTCAAAATGGTCTTATGGTATTTACAGACTTATGGTATTTAATTATAATTTAATTATTCTTAATTCTTAATGTCCTAAGTAAATTTGTTTCAGTCTTTAAACCTTTTTTTGCTTGTTTTTTGTAATTAGTGTAGCATATTCTTTATGTCTCTTGCTTTCATCTTCCCTTGATTTATCTTCACCTGGTGGTAAATTCTTTTTCTGTCATCAAATCAATGAATCAAAGCTTTTTGAAACCCCTTTCTACTTTTATAATAAAATCATCCTCATTCTTCCTCCAGTTTTTTTTTTTTAAAAAAAGCACAATTCCCTTTCAGGATAAGGCTTTTATTTAGTAGACTGAATATTTCCTCTTCATCCAAAACCTGTTATTCCAAAGAGTGTGTGCTAATTTCTATTTTTTCCAAGATTCAAACGACAAAATACAACTGCACAGCATATGAAAATGGATAAGAAGTTGGATTTTTCCTGTCTCTCATAATACTCTCTCACCTACTTATGATACAGATTTAAATTATAGAATTCGCTTTCAAAAACCATAACGAGGACTGCAAATCTGGACAGACAGATTAGTTCTATACCGCAGCTACCATTATTAGTGACACAAACCTTGGAAACACCAATAGAAGAGGACATGTGCAATTATGTTCTGCTTGGGGTTTTTCTATTGGCTATGTTGGCTATCCTGTTACTATGATGAGTAACAGGATACTGGGCTGGCAAAGCCTTTGTTGTAAGCTTGACTTATTACGAAGTGTGGTAAAAGTTAATGCTGCCTTTTACAGCAAGTTACCCTTCAGATATTTTGGACTGTAGACTACTATAACCTTCAGCTGGCATAGTCACTAACTATTTCAGTTATGAAGGAAGTAATAATTGTAAGTAATGCTGAAATGTTTCATCACAATTATTCATTTGCAAACTCTCTCTGTGAGGTACAAGATAAATATTTGCATATGTTTTCAATATGACAGAGGAAAGCATTTTGGGATAAGGAGACTTTCTCCATACAGCACAATCCAATAATAAGATGTCAGGTCAGTTTTAGTACTAATGTATTTTTCTATTGATATAAAGGTTTAGCCAAAATTTAGCCAAGTAAAATATCTGGGTGCCTAACACTTTTGTTACTATCCTGTTTGATAATAGATTATTTGCAAGATACTTATTTCATTGAAATACTTGAGGCCCATCAGATAAAGAACAGTTGAAAAAACAGTAAGCAAAACAAAGGCAAAGAGGTAAAACTATCTTCCTCTTAAGTGTTTTGTTTCTAAAATTATTGTCAGTCACAAAAAGGTCTGACGTGCTAATATCTGCTCATTCAGACACTTACTGACATGCTAAGAGCATGATGGTTTCAGGCACTGCATTTAAGGGCTGTTACTGAGGCCCTCACATATTGACAGAGTGCCAGACTAAGAAACTACTGATGTACGCAGCTGGCCTCTCCTCCAGACACCTATCAGACAGAATCTTTAAATGTCATGGATTAATGAATTTTCATGAAACTATGTGCCTGCATGTGTATGTGTTTTATTGAAAAAAGGAACATTTTTTAAAAAAAAGTTTCAAAGTCTATACAAAGTCTACAGCTTTGACTTTTCCAAAATTTGACCTGACCCATAGGTTTTTTTTTTTAATGATAAAGCTGAAATATTATATGCGAGATCCCTTACACATATAATATTCCATGATTATGTTTACAAGATGTGATCTAAAGAATGTGTTACTTCTGATAAGGACAATTAAGTAAATTTGTGCTTGAACATGCTGTTAGGCTCAGAAGAACAGGAGAATATTTAATGTGGAGAGTTGGAAGAATTTTAGAGTCAGTTTATTGGTGTTGATATTTAAAATATATGAAATAGGATGAGGAATGGACTTTATAGTGGGACAGTAATGGTTTTGAGAAGTAAATATTTAAGAGCAAGTAGACTGCTGACTGGAATGTACCGGCAGTGTAATATAGCAAATCTTGATCTCTGCCACTGAGCGTGTTGTTGTGATGGCATTAAAAGGTAAATTGTTCCAGAGAGGACTGCAGTTAGTTCACTGAGCTTTATCTGTTAGCATAATTGTAGCTGCAGGAGGACACCTGGAAAAATGCATAATTTGCCATC